TTATATTACGGTGCTCATGGCTTTTATTCGATCAGCAACGGAATCTATAAGGTGGATGACAAGGAAATTTGGCCGCCAATGACAGATTTTATTTAGATTATAAAGAAAAAGATAGATGTAATTAAGAGTTTCAGTGCTATCTGTGACTTTTTGATATTGCCACCTATAGCTTCTACTTATTATGATCGTACGCAAAATTAAATACAAAAGTGTTAATAAAAGGTATGAAAGTACATTTTGCTGATGCAATTTCTTATACATTATTTCATGTATACTGGAGTAGTGCAAAGCGTACCTTCTAACTAGAGAGTTCTAAAATATTAATAGGTCAGATTACGGAGACATTTCATTTTTTTCTGTAAAAAGCGCATGAAATTTCTTAATTTATTCCATGCATTTCAACTCAATTATCACATAAAATAATACCTTTCCAGTAATTTAAGCTGCATCATTGTGACTTATATCACGTTAAACAGTGCTCGCAAATCAAACCGACTGTTATAAAAGTATTCAAACTTGCAGTGATTTCAACTAATTATAGTAATAATAAGTTTCGCAAGTCCCAATCCGACTGCAGCCTTAAGCAATATCACATACATAGGTAACCAGCAAATAAGATCAGTTATTACAATAGTGATCATTTTAGCTCCAACAATTTTGTCAGTTTTAAAAAGTGGACGTTTAGCATCTTTACGAGCCTTTGTCTGTGAAATCATTATTATAATGTACATGATAGCTATTACAATCTACACAAAGAAAGTAATGGCGCGATATGATATTAACCATATGAATAGATATCTGTTTTCAATATTGCCTAGAATACATACGCTATTAGTTGCATGCAAACGGAATGATTTGTTTTGATTAACACCGAAGATAACGGGTAATCCTACATAGCTTACAGAAATCAACGAGAGTAATATTAAAGCAACACGAGTTACTGTATAGGGTAAACAAATATGAGGGAAAGGATACAATAAGTATCAATATCTGTCTAAAGTAATTAGGAAGAGGATAAACGTTGATTTGAGGCTTGATATTCCAGTTAAATCAAGTCGACTATAACTAACGACGATTATTATCAGCCATTACTCGCTGAAATAGCATGTAGTCCTGTTAAAATCCAAAATAATATATCATTATAATAATTTATATTAAGATTACGGACAGCTGAATAGTTTGTACTCCTGCTATTAATTGAACACTTACGATCAAGATGCCAGCTCCCATCATGAGTGCTTTGTTTTTTACATCGAGATCCATCGGAACTGCTCCAAATAGTGTCAAACGAAATAATATTTACAGTAAGCAACGTAAACAAGCTAGAACATGTGATATTTTTAATGGTAATTGCGGATTATTTCTAAATTATATATAACGACTAGCTAATAATGTACTATAAAAATAGATTGTAATCGATTTAATAAAATTTTTATCGACATTTTATCAAATAACAACCATAGGCCTGTACAGTATTTATTATTAAATAACAAGTAAAATAGGACTTATCAATAATTCTGATTTAGCTTTCTTAGAACTTGCATAATTAGCTAAAGGCTACTAATTATAGAATTATGTCATATCTACCACTAATCAAATATATATTCTAATAATAGCAAACTTTGCTACTTACAGTTGATATCTAAACGATCTTGGCTAACTACAGATCGCATTCCAGACCAACCCTTAACAATTGAACCCACGTTTTGACCATCAGTATCAACAACCTGCAGGAATGGATCAGTTTTTAATATAATTTTATCGTAACATGTTGCTAGAACTACAGCAAACTAAGGCAAAAACTCTCTTAGCAGACAATATTTAGCTTTCAATTATAGTATAGTATTTGTAATGTAGCTTGATGAACATATACTGCTTGG